TTCCTAGTCCCCTTCCCCGATACCCTCCCTTCACTCCCCTCTGTCTAACACAAAGTACGTCTAATGTAAATTAGCGTCCACATATCACAGAAAACATTCTGCCTTGGGTTCTTTGGGATTGGCTTATTTAGCTTAGCATGATATTGTCCAGCTTCATCCACTTACTGGCAAATGCCATAATATCAATCTTCTTTAAAGAAGGCTAAGTAATATTCCATTGTGCATATATACCACATTTTCTTTATTCTTTCATCTGTTGTAGGGTACCTAGATTCGTTCCAGAGTTTAGCTATTATGAATTCAGCTGCTATAAACACTGATGTGGCTGTGTCACTAGAGCAGGTTGATTTTAAGTCCTTTGGGTGTGTGCTGAGGAGTGGGATACCTGGTTCAAATGGTGGTTCCAGTCCAAGTTTTCTGAGGGATCATCATACTGCTTTCCACAGTGGTTGCACCGATTTGCAGTCCCACCAGCAATGTACATTAGTGTAGCTTTCCCCCCATGTCCTTGCCAACACTTATTGTTGCTTGTATTCTTGATAGTTGCCATTGTGACTGGAGTGAGATGAAATCTTGGTGTAGTTTTGATTTGCATTTCTCTAATTGCTAGAGATGTTGAACATTTTTTCATATATTGATCAATTGTAGTTCTTTTTCTGTGAAGTGTCTGTTCGGTTCCTTGGCCCATTTATTGATTGGGTTATATATATTTTTTTGGTATTTAGCTTTTTGAGTTCTTTTTATATCCTGGAGATTAGTGCTCCATCTGAGCTGTGTGTGGTAAAGGTTTTCTCCCATTCTGTAGGCTCTCTATTCACACTATTGTTTTCCTTTGCTGTGAAGAAGCTTTTTAGCTTGCCAGCATTGCTCTTTTTGATCAGAATTGCATTAGCTCTTCTGGGTATTTTCTTCTTACATACAAGTTTAAGGAGTCCCCCTCCCTAGATCGAGAGGATCGCCATTGGTATTTTTCATTGAATCTGTAGATTACTTTTGGCCATATGGTCATTTTGACGGTATTAGTTATGCAGATCCAGAAACATGGGAGGTCTTTCCAGCTTCTAGTATCTTCTTCAGCTTCTTCAATGCTCTATAAAATCCATAGTCTTCCACCTTCTTTGTTAGATTTATTTCAAGGGGCTTTTAAAAAAAATTTTCAGTGCATTTGTTATTGGTATGCAGAAAAGATAGTCATTTTTCTGTGTTGATTTTGTATCTTGCTTCTGTGCTATATTTATTTTTCTTCTCTAGAAGTCTTCTGGTAGAGGTTTTAGGGTCTTGTAAGTATAGGATCATATCA